TGTAAGGGGACTTCAATACATCGTTCGAGATCTTTGGAAAAGTTAAAGAACTTCACTTTTCCCAAAGATTTTTTTTTTTTTTTGACATAATTACTAGAGATATCCGTGCTTTCATAATATGGTTTGATTCTATCTTTGCAAAACTGATATCCCCCTTGCCTCTCCCCGGAAGAAATACTAAAAATCTTTTCCCATCCATAAATCTTGATTGTATATGATATAAAATATACAGCTGGGTCTCACCTGATGTTCAACTACTGTTGTTCCACGACAGCCAACAAAACTGTATCAACTTACTGTGGCTGGGGATGTAGAGGCTATTGTTTGGAAACAACTTCATACATTGTACAGCATTTGTGGGTACATTTCATAACACTGAAATTAAGCAGATATTTATTCAAACTGCACTGAACACAAGTAATAGAAACTTACTAAGTGCTTATACAATGAAAAATTTTTATCGATTGTATAAGCACTTAGTAAGTTTCTATCTTGAGCATGAAGAAATGGAGAAGCGCAGATATTCTGCCTGGGAAATACATGTGCTCTGGTAAACTAACTGTGGTCAGAAATCACACAGAGGCAGGGCCATGAAAGATTTTTTTCTTCCCTCTTTATCCCCAACCTCGAGTACAAGGATTTAGGAAAGGAGAGCTCCCCAGCTGCCCTTCTCCCCAGCCTGCCTGTTTCCCGTCTGCTCAGAGCTATTCCGGCTGCATCAGAGAACGGTGACAAGAGCAGATACTATCAAGAAGTCAGTCTCACAGGAGCTTCTTGGTCCTGAGAAGGAATTGGAATTCTGTGTCTGGAGGTCTGTGGCAAACCTAGGGGCACAATAAAGATGGAGGGTGCATTAACGCAGAAACCTGCCTTGAACCTGACTTGGCTAACCTGCATGGAAATTCTTATGTAAATCTTGCTAAAAACCAAAGACAAAATTCCCTACAACATCATCCTCTGCAAAAGTACCATTAGTTCAGAACCTTTGAGAAGGAAGCAGTCTCAGTTGTTCAGTTTTCTAACACACCAGAAGAGTAACATAATAGGAGGCGCCTGTCACCGATGCAGCCCAGTGTCTAGCGATAAGAACTGAAGTTTCACATCACTGGTGTGAAGCTATTTCCCATGTTTCTACTGACACCAGGCTTCAGAGCAAATGAAAAACTCAGCCTTCCCCTCCTTCCCTCTCCCAGCATGTGCACCTGGAAGCCTTTTAATGGGTTTTCTGTTTGCTTCACAGAGGCTCACATTCATGTCTGAGCAGAAATGTGCATTGTGACTTGAGTTCTTTCTCCTGCTGGATGACAGGTGATAAAAATAGCACATATACACATATCATATGACTAACAACAGCACCTGGCCCACGATGATGGGATCTATCCTTTGCTGCTGGAGCACTTTAGAATTTAAACAAGAGAAATTAAAACATCAGTCCAGAATCCACAGACCTGGGATGTTTTAACCCATTAGTAGGCACCTTCAGCAGAGACTAAGTCATTTCCCACTCCCCCGACTCCAGCTAGATTAATCCTCTTATACAGATTATTTCAGGAAGAACTTTACTCCCACAAAGTTAGCCTGCAGTTTTAAAAAACGACTTCTATCGCTGTAAAACATTATGCTGCTCAGACTAAAGGAGTTGTTAGAGAGATTTTTAAACTAAGCTTATTGAACCAATATGCTGTAGGCAACACCTAGTCCAGAGGAAATGCTTGACTCTGCTTTCCTTGCCCATGGCTTGGATATGTGAGGAAAGAACTACACTTTCAGGGGAGGCAAGAGTGACGCTCTTAAGAAGCTGTGCTCCATACGCACTCAACAGCACTGACACATGGAACTTGCAGATTAAATAAGGCCATTTTACTCTCCTAAAATGCTTCCTTCCTCCCCTCAAATACACATATCAGTCATGACTTCATTGTCTACCCCTGCCCCTTTTTTTTTTTTTTTAAATCAATTAAGTTTGTTCAAAGGACTACAGTAACTGCCAGTGAAAGTCTGTCACCAACCTCTGCTAACATCATTTTTATACTCATGTGATCAACAACTTATGAAAAGCCTCAGCACCTCATGGCTTATATTTTAGAATCACAAATAATTCCAAATCATGACAAGTAGAAATGACTTAAATTTCAAGGGAAAAATATTTTTAAAGGTGGTTCTCAAAAAATTCTAGAGAAAATAGGAATTTCCCTATCCTTAACTAAGCACAGCAACTTAAGGGGTTTGAAAAACACTATTCTATTTAGACATACATGAATGTTTGTATATGTATTTGCCACCATACCTCTGTGTACCTAAACTTTCTAGTATATGAACATATTCTTTAATTAGTTATAACCTCCATTCTTTCCTGTCAAGTTTTAGCCCGAGTTAGCTGAATTACAAGCCACTAAAACAAATTGAATCTGTAACAGAAATCTGACTAGTCCTTTACTCTGCTGATAGTGGGTAGTAGGACAGTAAAGAGACCTTTTCCCAGAAATAATGCTGAAAGCAAGCCCCTGCATCACCACTGCTGTGCAATTTCATTAGAAATGGACCTTTTGTGTGTCAGAGAGGATTAATTTCTTTGTTTCTAAACTCCTTGTGCACAAGAGTTAATCCAAACCAGACAGGAGTCAATTAGGTCATTAATGTGCTAAGCCTATTAACAGCCACGACTTACATTTCTTTCCTGCAACAATGGAAAACACTCAGGAGTCTGCCTTTCAGTGGCAAAGCCCAGGAGCAATTTCATTATTTTATGACATGGCTACTTGAAGCTGTGCTGTTTGTACAGGCGAGAAGGGCTCCCCACAGTGCAGCAGCCCCACACTTTGCTCCCTTGCTAGCACAGCCAGGCTATGGGCAACACAAGAGAGCAGCACCCAAGGGATCCAAGCCTGTTCCTGGACCTTTCATTGGCTTTTGTGTGACCCAGCACAGGGGGATCACACAGATCCAAGATTTTCCTTACTTAAGTCCTGACATGAGGACTAAAAAGCTAACACAGGCTCACAAAATACTTGGTGGAAAAGCATGCGTCCTCAACTCCCCTCTTCGTTCAGTGCCCCCAGTTAGATGCTAAGATTATGTGGAAAGAAAATCCTGTCACAGAGCAAGACCCAGAGACCAGCAAACCAACAGAAGTCTTTCTACCAGCCTCAGATGAGTTTTGCATCAGGCTACGTTGCCTCAGCCCATGGCCAACTTTCGTTTCCCAAGCTAAGCTATGGTAGAGGTGTGCAGGTGCATGCATGCACACTCTTAGCCCAACACACATAAGAAATTCAATAGCTTGGCTTGTAGCAAGGAACTCTAGTTCCTCAGGTTAGCCATGGATTGTGAACACAACAGATTAAAGGAAGGAGGAAGACGAACAAAAAATACTGTCAGGAGGGCTGTCACCAGAGAACAGAACCCCATACTACCAGCCTCCCATTCCAATGGGGCAGTAAGACTTAGCAGTCAGATCTACACCTGTGTTGTTTTTTAATGACATTTTTAATACAGTTTCACTGGGTTACACCTCAAGACTATTTGGGACAGGCCTCTAGCACCTTTTATAGCCACAGCAACCCACAGGGTTACTAGCCCAGGAAACTGAGACAAGGCATGCCAGCATGATACTGGAAGCTCAGTCAGGGGCATTAGAGAACTTTTACCTGTAACTGCCAGCCACAAGGTTAAAATTCAAGTCACTGCCTTTCCTCACAGAGCTGGTTCATCACCCAATTCTTTTTATACTAGAGAAACATCATTGAGTCATTCGGTCCAGAACAACTTCATACACACAAGACACACACGTGCATTTCAGCCACCTGCATCCACAGCTGGAATAACAGCATGGGCTGAGCACTGGGCACTATCGCCCTGCTCACACGGGCTCCATGCTGTTACAGCTGCTGCTCTTCCAAAATCATCAAGCTAGCTTCAATCTAGCTAAATTGCCTGTGTGAATTGTTATCACATTTTGGATTCACAGACCTCAAAGCTGAGTTTACAGCTCTCAGAAACCTTTAAGGTCTTGGGCGTTCACTGGAGATGCCTATGGGCTCATTCCTTCTACAGCAAGATATGAGACAGAGAGGGAGGGAGGGACACAGAGGTACAGCAAGATATGAGACAGAGAGGGAGCAAGGGAGAGACACAGGAAGGGAGGGAGGGACACAGAGAGAAGAACCAAAGTTTAAAACACTGCTCACAGAATCAACTAGCCCTACAATATAAGGGTGAGGGCATAAGTTTGATGAGCCAAACACCAAGTTGAAAAAAAACCCAGTTTCTTGTTAAAATATAACCTTGTTCAAACAACAGTGGGAAGTTTCAAATCCATAAGCCCGTAAAAAAGCAATAAAAACAAAAATGCAAAGTCTGCCAAGCTGACTGAATATCTCAATGTACTATTATGGATAGTGCTCTGCAAGACAGAACTAAAAACGGCAACATGTGAGAAACAGAAAAGGACGGTAGATTGTGTTACAATAGGAACTGTGCATCTCTGTACCCAGCCAGTTATCTTCTCACCTTACGATGAGCTGGATCTCTGGATCTAAAGCCACAAATAATACTTTAATCAGAAGTGGTGCTTTCTTAATTCAGACATGCAAGGACCACCGCCTTATCCACCAAGAATTCTCTGCATAGTGCATAACTCCAGCCAAAGTTGAGAAGAGCATCGCTCAAACCAACCTCAGGTCAGATGCTCAAGGCTTTGCTAGAAATATTGTGAACTCCTTTACAAAGCAACAGTCATGTAGCTTTGCTAAGCAAACGTTTACTTTGACTCAGCATGACACTTCTCTCAAATTGCTCTTTTACAGCAATGTCCTGATTATTTTTATATTCATGATGTGGCTGCTTCTGCATGAAGCAGCAAAAGGGTTCATCAGCACTTGCCATTTCTCATTACCTCTAGCTGCTCAAATGCTTGAGTTGAAAATAGACACAGCTGTCAGAAAACAGTTAAAGCTATAACTGCATACTCAGGTTCTTCTCTTGTACCACCTTAAACTCACCTGCTACAACCTTGCAGTGCTCATCAGGAACTTGCAACTTCATGGGATGACTTGACCTTGCAGATCGTCGGTGCCTGATGAAGTGTTCCTTTCCACTAAAGGAGGTCTCCGACATATTTACTGGTTGTATTAGCATGTGCTCTGGTCCTATCTGGATGTAGCCAACCTGTCCACAAAGTTAAAAACAAACGAGGGTAGGGGAAGGGGGAGAGAAGAAAGAAAAAAAAAAAAAAAAAAAAATCAGAGTTTTACATCCTTACCTTCTCTATCATCCAAAATAAACCCAGACCATTTTATCACAACCATCCTTTACAGTGTGCGGAAGGGTGGTTATATCCCCATTCAGTCTGCATAATACAAAAATAACTTCATCTGTTTCTCATATTTATTTTTTCTATGATAGCACTGTTTAGAAACATCCCCCTACCCTCCAGCAAACTGCCCCTTGTCATCACCTATCCTTTCTCTTTCCTATCTTTCCTCTCCCAAATTGGAGCATCAGCCTAGCCAGGAGCATAAATATCTGTCTTATGAGACAAAGAAAGCCTATTAAGAGGAAGACTCTCAATCACTTTAATTCCCAGCTAGAACTGCATTGAACTAGCACTGAAGGGCAGGGATTGTTGCTCTTGTGGACAGTGCTAGCTGAAATGAAGTGATGCTGCAACTCTGACTTGCAGACCCAGACACATTTTCTTGGCATGGGTATCAGATGTCTTTTCCTTCATTACAGCAAGGACTACATAGTAAGCAGTGGTCTCCCTGCACGTCAAGGTTTGGGGTTCACTAGTCAAGCAAGGAATTGGCTGTTGCAACTTCCTAGTTAAAAGTTCTTGCATAATCCCTAGAATAAGTAATACAAGCAAGGCAAAGACACCAATAAGTATCAGTAGCCTCCACAGGCTACAGGTCAGAGTGCTAAAACCCTGCCTCTCTTGCACCAAATCCAGACCTTACACCAGGGCTGGCAAGAACATCTCTGGAAAGCAGCTTCTGCTCCAGGAGAACCCTCTTCTGTTTGCATCCCAGATTTTTTCAGATTCTCCTATGCCTTTTCCACTCCTTTTCACAGAATCACAGAATGGTTAAGGTTGGAAGCGACCTCTAGAGATCATCTAGTCCAACCCCTCTGCTCCAGTAGGGACACACCTAGAGCACTAGCACAAAAGGAAAAGAGTTAAAGCAAAATAAAATGAAATAAAATTAATTTAAAAAAGCCCACACTAAGACTTAACAGAGCTTCCAGGTTTAGTAATCAACACTGAGATTGTAATACACTGAAAAAACAAGTACGTACAATGAGATTTTTTTTAACTTATTTTTCATTGTACTTATTCCTATCATTACTTTTATTGCAATTAAGAGTCTTTGAAATACAGTTCTTTGCCATATAGTGCCTTGAAAGAATTCCCTAGGTGTGATCCAACTTCTGCTGGCAACAGGCAGGCAAGTTCATTCGGCCTGCAAGAGCAAATCAGATCACACATTTGGTGCACCTGATAAAGGTGCTTACAAAGGGCTCCTACTAGGTTAGGTGCCTCTAACACCCATTCTATACGTGGGGAGACACGAGCGCACCCCCGCCCCAATCACATTCTGTGCCAGCCAGGCAGCCATCCAAATAAGTGCTCTGCACATACATGCAAATACTATATATTCAACAGCTGACTACACTAATACAATTTATAATATACGTTACATACATACTGTAAATTGTACATTTCCACACCTCCCTGCCAAATTCAGTCCTCACGTACACCCAGGAAATCCCTTTGGCCTAGTATTTCTAACAAGGCGAATTTCTGCTAGCAGAAATGAGTGCACTTGTTTTTTGAAAACCTTAAAAGATGAACAGCATTCAGGGAAAGCAGGACCTCTCAGATACTGCCACTCCTTTTGAAAAGGTTTATGCCTGAAACCTCCATGTCTCAATCGGCCACGCACGCAGAGCAAGGTGATAACAATTACTGCCCTGTGCCAAGAGGGACAAGACCAATCACTTTTGTGGCCTTTAGAAAGCAACCTTGCCCTTGAGACAATACTGATTAACATCTTGGCAGCCCTTCTGGGAGGTGTAGTTTATGAACAAAATTGACATTATTTCTTGGTCCTACAGCACGCATAACAGTTTCAAAAGACGTACTCTTCTCCAAGGTTTCCAAAGGGGCTACCCCTTCCTTCACTAAGTCCATGTTGGGCTTTGATTGAATTGTTCTGGTGACAGGAGAGGGGAGAGAAAACAAACAAACAAACAAAAAAACACACACACACACACTCTAATGACTTATTCTTCCAGCCTCCTTTATGATGTTCTCCACTATTTCCCCTCCTCGTTCCAGTCTTCCAGCTGGGAGGTAGCCCCGGCCCCCTTTTTTAATATAGATTTTAATTATCTAGGAGAAGGGTTGTAAATCTGGTGCCATGGTACTAAAAGCCACACCAGAGCTCCTGAACTATTGCCAACCATTTTTGCTTGTGCCAAAAATATGTAAGAAGTCATTGGTTTCATCACCACCCAACATTATCCCAACTTTCTGGCATCAAGTGTGAAAATAATTTAAACCATTGGAAAGGACTTATGTTTCACATTTGCTTTGGAATTGTGAAACCTATGGAGGGAAAGTTTTTTAAAGAGCCATGTGTCTTTACCCTGGAATAGGTTAAGAAGCAATCTGAAGTTTAATCTGACAAGCCAACTAGAGCTTGGAAGAGGAAAGATTTGCAGGAGTGAGCCTGTAAAATATTCCTAGGAAGTTACAATTTTCCACAGACTTGCCAATCGAGTTCTGAAGCTGTTGGTCCAGCTGAGATATTTTTGACTTACTAAGCTGAATACCAACTGATTCTGTTCATTATTTTGCTTTTTCTGCAAGAAATACGTTTCTCATACTGCCTCTCTCAAGTCCATCAAATACCAGATACTGCACATGAGATATCAGACATCAGGAGTCAAAAAAGGCACTTTAACTTTTCCTTCTCCTGTCTAGCTCACGTTCAGGGATTGCAAAAAGCTGGTTTCTGAAGATAAGTAAAACAGAAGACCACATAACTGCCAGAGCTATTTTCCCATGTCCATGGAAATCATTCCAATTAAATAAAACACTTTGGATCTGCCAATTTAAGGTTGCCTGGGGAGATAAGAATCAAAAGCTGGTCAACTCCCTCTAGTCCTTCTTTTGCTTCAAGGGCTCACATGAGCAAGACAGGCCACTGCACTGGCCACCAGCACCGCTGTAAGTCCTGCAAGGCAAGTGGGCTGCCCTCCCACAGCACCTGACACAGGAGTTACCCAGAGCACAGACATTCAGGAGGGCTTAGGAATTCAGTCACCTGTATCACTAACATAACTTGGATTTTGCTATTAGTATGAGAGGACATAAGAGCTGACAGAGTGACTCCATTTAGCTAACAGCAAAGACCAGAATGATTTCAGCTTCAAAGAGCAGGCTGGCAATCAAACCAACAGGTCAGGGCAAATAAACCACCACCACTCCCCACCGCAGCCCCCCTCACCACTGTGCTCACAATGGCTGCCTCTCTTATATTCTCTTCAATTTAAACATCAACTTGACATTACTCACTAGCACAACAGGTCCTGTTCTCCAAACCTCCGAGATATTCTCATGTACAATCACCATTTTCTTTGTTCCTGAGTTTCATATGGGCATTGGTCACTCATACAAGAAAACACCTGCTCATTCCCTAGCCTACTGTCAGCTACCAGGGGCTCGCTCACTCTATGCATTCCCTTCCTTCCCACCAAAGCTCTTCAAGACACATGACAAAAGGAAAACGCCCTAACATTGTCTTACTGAAATTATGGTGGCATTATCCTCCTGCTTCACTGGCTTCACTATCCTGTCTCCGTGTCCTGCTAGCGCTGGTGGGGCTGCAACAGCTCAAGGGCTAGTTCAGGACAGAAACCAAACTCTGGAGCTTCAGGACTGCACGTGCTTTCCCACGTGTTAACACTCTCCAGCAGTTACGTTGTTTTTCCAGCCCTTTTTATTTTCACAACATCTTTGAACAAGATCTGTAAAATGCTGAATCTTTAACAGACTTTTCTCTACTTGTAAGTGTTCATTAGTTACATGCACATGAACACGCAGAAAAGAACAGTTTTAAGCATCTGACAAATTCCATCTTCTCAATTTCTCAGTTGTTACGCTGTGAATCTTAATTTAACCATTTCTTCAAAGTTAACATGAAGCTAGTATTTAAAGAACAAAAATGGACACAAGAATATTTTTAAGTAAGCCTCATATGGTTTTTAGTCCTGTCATTCTTGGTCTCCATATTTCAGTTCTTAGTTATTTACAAATATAATCTAAGCAAATTTAAAACAAGAGCTTTACACTTGATTATGAACACAGAGCATGCCCAACATGATCTGGCTGCCCCACTGTCCTGGCCTGGCCCTGCCTTCTAGGCTGCTAAACACGCACGACACACTCCCTTTTGCAGAGGGCAAATCCCAGCCCCACCGGGAAATAAAATCCTAGCGCAAAAGAAACCCTGCACCTACTACAGCAATTTTCAGAAGTTTTAGCTTTTCAACTCCTGAAGTAGATACAGATCAATGTGAAGCAGCTCCTTTCTGAGGAAAGGGAATGTGGCAGAACTGCAGGTTTCCTCAGGGGAAATCCTATCATCATGCCTAGCATGCCAGCACTGCTCTGCTTTCCATAAAAGCAGACACTTTTGCAGACACCCAAAGGGAACGCTGCCCTGTTGCACACCCAGAACACTTCCTACTGTCAGGCAGGGACCCAGATCACCTAGCTTCTGCCACACATTTTAAACCAGGCAACTAATGTTGCTTGGAAGTCAATGAGGAAAGGAAGATGCCTCCAAAACTCACCAATCCCAAGCACCGAGTTCTCTTTGCCCTGACTGGCCTTCCATACTGGATCCAAACAACACTTAGGCATCCAATTCCTGGGCGGTCACTTACAAACATAAATACTTTCAGCGCATTTAAGCTTGTTAACAACCAAATACACAGCTACATCCCGGCTGCAGCACTTCAGTGACTCCAACAGAAGAAAATGGAGAGAGAGAGGAAAAAAAAAAAAAAAAGATGAGATGAAGTCTCACACACTGGGAACAGCTTGAGCCTTTTGTAACATACACCCAAGGAATAAGTGAAAGAAACACAGCACAGCACCCTGCCTATTTCCCTTATCATGAGACCTGAAGATTAATTAGCATTGTAGGTCTCAGAGCAAGCACAGCTGCAATCAAAACAAGTATCAGGTGCTGAAAGGACCTCCTATACTGTGGTTTACTGGTTTCATACAAAAAAGCACTACAGCAGGTAACACCACTCTGGTGAATTTTGCTGGAGGACAAAAGCAGCACACGGAGAGAAGCAGACAAAAGGCAAGTGTGGCATCACATGCACTACACCTGAGGGCAATGTGGAAATAAGTCTGAAGAGCATCAATTGACCTGGAATTTCCATGTGCAGACGAACATACTCTCAGTCTGAGACCAGATCACAGAAGAAGTGTTATCAGCAGGTGCCCTAGTCCACAATTTTTGACACGGGAGGTGGTTTCTTGTAATATGTACTGTGTTGTACCACTGACCATATGAGCCCCAGAACTATTCTCCTGCCTCTGTCTCCCCAACACCAGGAGATGAAGTTAATTCCTGTGCTGCAGTCAGGATACGTTTATACAACAGCATTCCCTAGATGGGATAGGGCACCACAGAGCTGAATGTAGTACCTCTTACCTGTACCACAATTCCCAGTGTCAAGAACAATGGAAGAGTTGGAAGGTCCTTTTAACTGTGCAGACAAGCCACTAGGCAAATGCATTATGGTCTGATGCAGCTAGAACAGCGTGGGCATCCTTCTGAATTCAAACACAAGGTGCGGCAGGAAACTACAACAGACCCCATGCTGATTAAAATAAGTATCTGTAAACAGGGTTTAAAAAAACAAAAACAACCTCTAGATGCTACACTGGAAACCTGCTAATACCATTAGAACACAGTCTGCAGTCTGGCTGCAGAAAGTTTTCATGCCATGGTGTGGGGGATTAAAACTCCATTTGCCCTGACTCTCTTACATCATCTGTTGCACGATTTAGAGCACAGCTGAGGAACGATTACAACAAAGTCCAAGTCAGTTATAGGTCAGGGCACAGTATTACTATCCTCCAAGCTGTCCATTCTTCTGAATGAAATGTCCTGAGCAACCAACTCCAGTCCTATGAACACCCTGGCACTGGAGTTTTCAGGACATCTCCCATTCAAGTGCTAGCCTGCAAAGCTGTGCTGCTGGGGACGGCAAAGTCTTAGTCTTTCTGCTGCAAACAGAGCTTAAGAAGCAAACTGAAAATTCAAAACTCACTGTAGCAATGATCTGGGTATTGCAAATTAACCAAATAAGAGGCAAACAATTGAAGCTCTGGAATCACGCAACTTTACTTCCATTCACAGCAGAATCAGGACTTCTGCACGATCTCAGGCAAACTCTTCGTCCCTCTGATCCCTGGAATCATCTTCCCACTCAAGTATGTGAATTCAGTGCACTCACTGTAAATACCACAAACACACTGAAATCAGACTGAAATTTGTGTGCATATTGTGTTATGTAGTAGCAATAGACTTAAGAAGGCAAAAGGTCCCTTTAACTGAATAAGGTCTACCATACGGGAACTGAGATCAATTTAATGAACCCATTTCAAAACTGAATTTGAAATTCATCTTAAATTGAGGTTCATTCCAAAGAAATTTCAGCTTTCTGCTCCCTATTTTTCAGCTCACAAAGTTGCTACAAGCCTAAACACACT